TCTTCCTCCTCTTCCTCCTCCTCTTGCTCTTCCTCCTCCTCCTCCTCCTCCTCTTGTTCTTCCTTTTCCTCCCCCTCTGGTTCTATCTATAGGTCCATTAAAAAGTCAAAAGTCCAAGCCAAACTTTTCTGCTGGAATTCTGCTATGCCTTCTCCATGGTGAACTATATCTTTAACCAAGAGCCCAAATAAATCTTTCATCCCGTTAGTTGTTTCCTGTCATGTATTTGTTCATACAAATGAGAAAAACCTTACCCAGGTCCCAAATTAATTTTCCATGCCAAATTTTATTTATGCTATGTAAGTAAAGTAGCTATCCATTCAGGTCCTATACCTACTTTTAAGCTGCTACCATATATACTAGCTAGATATTTTATTCTTTAGAGATGGATGGCCTTTTCTGTCTATAATCAGGCACACCAAATTCCTAAGTGGTATGTGAATACAATCTAATGATTAGAGAAAAACATGAAAATCCCAATTAGGGTATGTGTGTTCTTTTTTTATTGGGTCTTTATTTGCATTTCAGATGTAATCCCCTTTCCCCATTTCCCCCCTCCCACCACCAAGGAACTCCCTATCCCATCCTCCCTACTCCTGCTTCTATGAGGATATGCCCCCACCTACCCTCCCACTCCCACCTCCCCACCCACAATTTCCTCCACACTGGGGCATCCAGCTTTCACTGGACTTCCTCACCCACTTATGCCTGACACTGTCATCTTCCCCTACATATAAAGCTAGAGCCATGGGTCCCTCCCTAAGTGCTCCCAGGCTGATGGTTTAGACCCTGGGAACTCTGGTTTGTTGGTATTGTTGCTCTCCCTATGGGGCTACAAACTCTTTCAGCTCCTTCAGTCTTCTCTCTCACTCCTCCATTGGGAACCCTATGATCAGTTCAATGGTTAGCTGTGAGTATCTGCCTCTGTGTATTTCAGGCTCTGGCAAACCTCTAAGGAGACAGCTATATCAGGCTCCTGTCAGCATGTACTTCCTGGCATCCACATCAGCATCTACCTTTGGTGACTGCACAAGGGATGGATACCCAGGTGGAGCAGTCTCCAGATGGCCCCTTCTTCAGTTTCTGTCCCACATCTTGTCTCCATATTTGCTCCCATGAGTATTTTGTTACTCCTAAGAAAAGCAAAAGCAACCACACTTTGGTCTTTCTTGTTCATGAGCTTCATGAGGTCTGTGAATTGTGTCTTGGATATTGCGAGCTTTTGGACTAATATCCACTTACCAGTGAGTGCATACCATGTGTGTTCTTTTGTGATTGGGTTACCTCACTCAGGATGATATTTTCTAGTTCCATCCATTTGCCTAAGATTTTCTCGAATTCATTGTTTTTAAATAGCTGAGTAATACTCCATTGTGTAAATGTACCGTATTTTCTGTATCCATTCCTCTGTTGAAGGACATCTGGGTTCTTCCCAGCTTCTGGCTATTATAAATAAGGCTGCTATGAACATAGTGGAGCCTATGTCCTTGTTATATGTTGGAGCATCTTCTGGGTTTATGACCAGGATTGGTATAGCTGGGTCCTCAGGTAGTGCTATGTCCAATTTTCTGAGGAACCACCAGACTGATTTCCAGAGTGGTTGTACCAGCTTGCAATCCCACCATCATTGTTGGTGTGTGTGTTCTTAAAGGGGAGGTGCATGCTGGACAGTGCTAACTTTCTATGATAAAGGACAGGCCACTTCTATAAACTGGAAGAGTTGGGGCCTAATGGTTCAAACTCTTCAGAGACCTCTGTCTAGACATTTCCCTCACAAATGTCAGAGTCTAGGTTTTCCTGAACCAATTTTCTTTTGACCTCAGCACATTAAACTTGTCTCAATTGGAAGTTTAAGCTTCTCTGGAGTTTGGTCAGTGTGGTGAATAGATCAAGAACTTGACATAGTTTTCACGGCCCTCCCACTAAAAGAGATAGTTGCTCAACCATCTTATCAATGAGCTCTGGGTAACACATGACCCATCAGTTAGTTAAATGGCCAGCCTTTCTCTGTGTACTCTAAATCGGGCCTGGATGTAAGCCTGTCTGGTGAGGCCTTAACCCAGAAGGTGCTGATTTAAGAAGCCTTAACTGTATAGAATTTAAGAGTTTTAATTTATAGAAGAGGGTGGGTGATCTGTATGTGGGTTCACCACCTCTGCTTTATTTAAGTTGTTCATTGACTTAGTCAAAGTATATTTATATCTTCTGTAGTCCAGGAATTATGCTAAACATAAGAGATGGAGATGCCTTCTAGAACATTCCGACTGATAAACTTAAGGCCACGTCTTCCTAAACAGTGATGGATTTAGAAAATGTACTCGCCAGGTTTTTATGTCACTGTGACCAAATACCTGAAGGAAATGTTTACGAGAGTGAACTCTCACTGTGGCTCACAGTAGAAGTCTGAACCCATGTGATTTTGCTGAACATCACGGTAATGTGAGCATGTTTCTGGGGCTGTGCAAACAGAGAAGGCAGAGGGCACGAAGAGGCCAGAGTAAAGTCCATCCCTCAAGACTTTCTCAGGGGCCTTCCTTCAGCTAGATTCCACCTCCAAGTAATACCTGTGTCTCATGAATCTCTCAAGTGATCGTCTGTGCTATCGATGAGGTAAAAGCTTTCATGATCCAGGAAAGTCTTCACAAATACCCCACAGATGTCCTCTTTTTAATTCCCAGATGTTTCTGAATTCATTCAAGTGACTCATCACACACACAAAAAAGCTGTTTGATCCAAGTCATGCCATCAAAGGAGTAACTTCTGAGAATATAGATTTCATTTGAAAATGTGAGTGAATGATCCAAAGATTGGGCATTTGAAAACTGATATATTAACAAATAATCAGAAAGCCTTTGCATATAAGCCTTAAAATTACTCTCAAATAAAAAAAAATTGAATGAAAACTGTTGAAAACAAAGATAACAGATATCATTCATCCTTTGCCAATTTACTTTCTCTGTGTAATAAATCTGAATTTTTTTCTTATCTTTTCCTCTCTGCACAGGCATACTCTCCAGGGCTGACTCTTAGTTATGACTTTTTCCTCATGGTCTGTGAATTCCTTGGCCCTAGGCCCACGTTTTCATCTGTACACCGAACATTCCTACCAGAATCCCTCACTGGTGCTTCCTCTTTATCATATTTTAAAAAGGAATTCCTGTGGCTGGAGCGTTGGCTCAGCAGTTAAGAGCACTGGCTATTCTTCCAGAGGATCAGGATAGATTAATTCCCAGCACAGACATGGTGGCTTACAATTGTCTATGAATCACAGTTCCAGGGATCTGAAACCCTCTTCTGGCCTCTACAGGCACAAAGAATGCACATGACACACAGATATACATCTAGACAAAACACCCACACATCAAAGCAAACAGACGAATAAATAAATAATGGATTCTTGGATTGGGGAGATGGCTTAGTTGGCTAAGTACTTGTCCTGTAAGAAGAAGGACCTGTGTTTGGATCTCAAACACACAACATAAAAGGGGGCAGGTGTGACAGTGCATGTCTTTAGCCTTAGCTCTGATAGGAAAGAAACAGGTAATTCCCCAGAGCTTTTTGTCCAGCCAGTTTAGACAATCAATGACCATCATGTGTCTCAAAAGAAAAGATGGAGAGAGGAGGGAAGACACCAAGCCTCAACCTCTGGCCTCTATACACACATCGAGATGAGTCCTTGCATATACACGTGCACACAAAAGAAGAAAAGGAGAATAGTAATTCTGCTGTGGCACTCAGTTAGATGACATGTTGTTTCTTACCTGCCCCTCAACAACTGATTGTGTGGCCATCTTCTTAGAAAATGGCATGACTGTGAAGACATGATGGAGGTAAACAGAGCCTGTAAGAACGCATGTCCCATTTAGTGCTTGAAAATGGAGATTTTTTTCATGTGTGGCTCAATGTTTGCTTCTCCAGTCACTGAAAGTCCATATGACATTGATATACAAAGTTTCCACTTGAAAGGTTAAAAAAAATGGCCAAATATCAATGGTTTTCTACAGTGGGTAGAGTCTACGTTTGTCATGGTAAGATAGCTTAGATCCTTTGTGTAGGAAAACAAAAAAGGAAAACAAAACCCACTAATACAAATATTAAAGCTAATGACTTTCCAAGATGCAACAGAAGAGAGTGCTAGGGAATTTGCTTTCTGCACTGTATTTTGGAGTATAATTCAAAATCTCTGAGGTCTGCCCTCCTTTATCCTGTTATGCAGTTGTTTACATGTTGAAGATTTGAACTCTTCTGAGGCGTTCAAACACTCTGTAAGACACAGTGACTTTGGAGGATAA